CCACCCCGGCTCCGGCTCCCCTACCTCGCACCCTCTTCCTGGGCCCTGGGTTGGGATCTCAGAGGGCTCAGGTGGTGGGCACACTGGGTACAGCCACCACATACAGGCATGACCCCTAAGGGGCAGCAGGCGCAGGGACTGGCCCACCGGCCTCCTGGCAGAGAGCTAGGCTCCCCAGAAGAGCCTCCTGCCCAGGTGTCGCCCTCCCACCCTGCCGGCGAGTCTCACGCCCATGTTCCATCCTCCTGCCTCTGGCCTCTTCGCCCTTTGGCTGCTGGCTCCCAGCCCTGTGTCTCCTACTCTTCCCTCGGCCCCTGCAGCCCCCACCTCCGCCCTGTGTCCTGCCCCCAGCCTGGCCTCACCAGCCCCATCCGCTGCTCAGGCTTAAACGTTGGCATTCCTAGGTCTTGCCTCTGACATTTTCTCTAGAGCAGGGGTCACGTGCTCACAGGCCCACGGGCAGGCCAGTAAATGAGTGACGAGCCCTCGTGGGCAGTGGGGAGAGCTGGACACGCGCCCTTGGCCTCCTGGGGGGCAGCTAGGATGTAGCTCGGCTTGATTGCCGCCCCGTGCCCCCAAGACCATGTGTGCCCGGGAGCTCCAGCTCCCGCACAGAAGCTGGAAGCCTGTTCAGTGTGAGATTTCCCAAACTTTTAAGCACGAATAGGCCAAACACAGCCCCATCCGGAAGCAGCTGGGGCCCGTGAGAAGCCAACCTGCGCTCTCTGCTCTACTGCATCGCTGCACAGATGCCTCTCGCTGTCTATCTCTTGCCTTGGGCTTTTGCCTAAACCCTGCCAGTAAACCCTACTCATCGCCTAAGGCCAGGTTCAGGTGTCCCCTGTCCTGGGAAGCCATGGACCTGGTCCGTAAACACTCCTGTAAAGCTGTATGTCGGTGTCTCCAGGGCCTGGAATTCCTCGGCTGCATCAAGAAGCGCTTGCTGAGAAAGCCGGCGCCCGTCTCGCTCTTCTCCAAGCCCGCGGTGGCAGAGGCTGAGGTGCCCTCCAGCCTGAGTGAGAGCTGCATGGTGTTCTACGAGCCCACACTGGACTGCACCCTCCACTTTGGCCGCGTGTTCCCCCACGAGGTCAACTGGAACAAATGGAACCACTTATGAGGCTCATGTGGCCATGTCCACCTTCTGTCCCTGCCGCTGGCTCTTGAGGAGGGAGCGAAGTCCCCTGGGCCGGGTCTTTGTCCACACTGGTGCTGCAGCCTGGATCTCCAGGAAAGGGCCACCCGCCTGCTTGCCCCTCTGCCCGGGCTGGCCTGGGGACCCTGGAGTTGTGGGCAGCAGCTGCAAGGAGACTTGAGTCCCCAACCTCGCGCCTTGGCCGCCATCACCTCCACGGGCTCCTGAGGTGTGGCTGCCCAGGCCCCGAGTCTCCTGTGTGGACCTCAGAGTTGTCAGCTGTTGGCCAGTGCAGGTCGGGGGCTCTGGGCTTCCTGTTCGCCCCATCCACACACTCACGTTCCAGATCCCAGCAGCACGGCGGACTCCCCTTGGCTCCCCAGCAAGACCAAGTGCCCCTGAGCAGTGGGGCCCTATGGGTGCACCCTCTCCCACTGGCTAGAAACCAGGAATCCCTGTAGGTTTAGGAGTTTGTTTGTTTTGTTTTTCAGTCTTTTTTCCTCATTTCAAAAAAAAAACAACATCCTCTGGCATGAATTTATTTATTTTTTAATTAAAGTGAAGCAAATGCATTTAGTTTCGTGTCTTTCCTAAAGAGTCTGGTCCCCGGAGGGTTCCTGGTCTTTAGCTGCCAAAGAGCCAAGAGTAGACATTCCCTGTAAAACCAAAGGATGAGGGAGAAGCTGTGGCCGAGCCCGGCCACCCTGGGCAGCCTCACCGCCTGTCCCCGCCCCTCAGCAGGGCCATGCCTGGCCCTGGACAGAGAAGCTCGTGCAGGTGGCAGAGGTCGCAGGCCTGTGGCGTGGATTTGGTCCATAGAAGTTCTTTTTATTTTTTTAGTTGCCAGCATTTAAAAAATTGGTTTCACTTCTATTTTCTTTTTTTAATTCAGATTTCTATCTTGTCTTGAAAAATGAAGAGATCTGGCAGCATTGCACGTGACAGTCAGAAGTTGAGACATGGCCCCCAGTCGCCACTGCCCCAGCCCTGGGTTTGGCCTCTCGGCCACCACAGCTTCTGTTCCTAACAGAACCAGCCTATGAGGCACATTTGACCTGCTGGCCTACCCTGGCCCAACTCATGGCCCTGCACTTCCGTCCTCCCTGTCAGGGACCTGGTCACTGGTCACTCCAAGCCCAGCCCCAGGGTGACCAGGGCCAGGAGCATGGGGTCCGGAGGATGTATCCCACCCAGCACAGCCAGGATCTGGCCACGTCTTAGCATCACTTGTTTTCTCCTTTTTCATTTCTACTCAAGTATAAAACTAGTGTTTGGGGGATTCTTTGAGATGAAGTAGAATAATTGATGTGACCTGCTTTAGAAACAGAAAATACTTGACAAATGTGGATTATTTGGGAATGTGGAAGGAAGGGAGGTATGGAGCCTTGGGGATAGAATCTCCCCCACAGGAGGGCCAGATGGGCTGAAGCACATAGTAGGACCAGCAGAGTTTGTTGCCTTCCCCGTACCCCCTAGATGAGGGAGACTTGGGCATATGTGAGAGAGATGGTACGCAGGTGAGGGTGCAGCTCTCAGCGGAGCGAGGGGCTTTGCTCTGACCAGCCACCTGCTGTGTAGGGACGGCCTGTCGCACC